TTCAGTATCAAGATAGTTGTGGAATTCATGACAATTTTAAAAGTCATTTTGCCTTCTTTTCAATAATTCTAATATTTCTGTTTTGGGATTTCCACATATGGTGCCAAGATTTGTGGCAGGGATGTGGAGCTTCTCACCCTGGTCAGTTGGGCATTGCACAATCACCAAATATTTGCCTAACATACTCAAGTCACAAAGCCTAGTCCCCAGCACTATGCAGACAAGAGAAAATGTGCAGAATGAACTACAATTGACTGACCCACAAATGACTACCAATAATATTAAGTGCTACTATTTCAAGAAAATTAGAAGCATTAAAGAGCAAGGGTAGTGTGAGATGAGACAACATGATGGTATTAATAAGGGTAGAGACAGAATGAAAATAGGAGGAGAAACAGTAGTGAATAATACGTGAAATATAGAAAAATAAGATGGAAGGAGAAATTGTGAAATTAATGGAAGGGGAACAAGAAAGAAAAGGTGATGAAGATGACCCAACAATCAGTAAAATGAGAAAGTGAAAATAATATTTTTATTTACATCCTGAAGCAGAGAAAATACTGCCCAAATCTATGACAATAATGAAGTAATATAGAAGGAAATGTAGAAAGAAAAAATAAGATAAGAGAGAAAAACCATGTAACTGAAGAAATAAACAGAACAAAAATGAAGGGAAAAAGAATGAGATAGGAACTTACAATTGAAAATTAAATGTGGAATCCCAAGTGTGGTATCTTCTGTCTGCAGTCCCAGCACTATCTGAGGCAAGGAGACCACACACGCAGTACTGGGCACATGGGAATGCCCATTTCAAAAACATTATAATCAAATAAAAGAGAAAAAATTAACACAAACATTTTAAAAGAAAGAAGGACAAGCCTGACCAGGAAATAATAACTTAAATGGAATTATCATATCAAGGAAGTATGATAGCAACAAAAAGAATTTTAAAATTGTGTAAATATAGAATAAAAGTTAAAAATAGATGAATATGTGAATGGATCACTCAGTTTTAAAATGACTTTGTAGAAGATTATGAAATTAAATAAGATGAAACCAGGAAAACAGAAATATAACTAGTTATTTTAAAGAAAGAAAAGATAGGAAAGCCTTCAAGCATCCAATTTTAACAAACTTGAGACATGTTTCCTAGTGCTTAGGCAATATAGAACTCCACATCACCTGTCTGCCTAGACTGTGCAATATAGGTACATGAAATCAACACACAAATCATAGTAGCATTTCTGTACATTAATAAATCTTCAGGAAATAAAAGGCAAAGGAAATACATTTGTAATGACTACAAAACTGAATAAAATAATGTAGGTGTACATTGAACAATGACAGTTTTATTACTCATTTATTTCATATTTTTTGGTAGTCATAGATTTGGCTTTATTTTCAACCTTTAATAACAAAACAAAACCATGGGGTATGATCACGTTTTATTTTAAAGTCCTGAATGGTTGTAATATACATAAGCCAATCACTAGAAGTTGAGTAGTATAGGAGTGACATACAAGAGGTCATAGAATAGTGAGAATCAAACACAAGAAATGGAGGGTCCTGCAGAGCTGGGCAGAGCTTGTGTCCAGTATTGCTTGGTGGACACTGGTTTTTGGTTTGGGAAAAGAGAGGAGTGCAGACAGCTGGTGAGGGAAACAGGACTTTGTCAATTTGAAGCCACGTGCAAAGAGTAAAGTAGGTAAGTCATGTGATGTATATTTTTCTACAATTCCAGGAACATAACTTATGAAGGAAAATTAAAAAGATTCAATATTTGTGGAGAATTTTAGTTTCTTCTGATATTATAGTGGGAAGAATTTTTCCCTTAGAAACTTCTTCTGCCTGAAGAGACTTTTTCTGTGAAGGACAACCTTAGCCAGCAGTGACATTTATATCCTGATTGGCCCTCAGTGCAGGTTGATGTCTTCACAGTAAACTTTGTCATTCAGAGAAATGGTAACAGGGTGCTAGGGTTGTAAGGCAGTCAACAGTCCTCACTGGATCATTCCCAGAGTCACAAGTCAACAGCTAACTTGGCTGTGGAAGACTAGCCTTCTGTCCCCTGTGATGACCCATTCCAGAGAAACTTTTGACTTTTCCACTTGTACCCACTTTCTAAGTGTAACTTGCCATTGTTGTCACTGAGACTTCCATGAAATTCAACAGAAATGTTTGGTCCATGCTCTGCAGTTTGCAAAGACTGAATTTTCCCTTAATACCGAGGTAGTGGCATCCTTGGCTTCCATCACTGGAGGATATTGTTGGAACGCCAGTCTGAAAGAGATCTTTCTGTCTCAGTTTCCTTTGAGAATCCCAAGCACTGCATAGAATGTCTTGTTTCTTTACATTTCTAGCCTATTTTTGAACCTACTCTTTGACATTACATGGTGTTGTGAAGGTGAACATCATGCCAACATCTGTCCAGGGCTTTTCATTTCTATCATTTGGTTTTCCAGGGTTTAAATTATCACTATAAGTCTTTCTTTGTAGTGTTGCCACTAATATCTTTACTCACTGTACTTCATGATTAGCTAATCATTGTGGATATACTATTTAAATTCTTGGACCAGTGAATATTCCAGTTCTTGGCAAGAGCTACATGTGCATATTATGCTTGTGTCTGACCTCAGCCACGTAGTTCCCACACATTCTTCTCTCAACATCCACCATGCAACTGTCCAGAGCCTTATGGTTTTGTTACAGAGATAAATTAAAAACTTCTCAGGTCTTGAGTGGGTAGGCACCCAACCCTTATCCTATCTGGAGCCTTGTAGATTCTCAGTGAAATGTCAGAACTCACTATAACCTCTGTGGCATCTTATTTCTCAGAAAATTCCTTTTCAGCTTCACTCTTTGCATAGTGTTTCTCCTCAGGGAGGGATAAACCAATATCCCAGTAGAGAATAGTAGGGCACACAGTAATATAGCACCCAATTTATGTGTGTTTGTAATTGTGCTTTATTTTATAGACCACAGACTATAACTAAAAATGTCAAATATTTCAATAACAAGAACAACATGTATGAATAACATACAATTGAAATGTGAGATGGTAAGTTTTAAACAAATTAGCAGGTAGGATGTATGTGACATGAAGTCAATAATAAAGACTTTCTCTCACTATGACTAACACCTAACAGAAGAAGGTCTTTGACACCTGGCTTCAAAGGCTCCAGTGTGTGACCAGCAGACTGTTGATGTCAGCTGTTGGTGTGAGTGAGAGATTGTAAGTTCAGTAAAGTGTGATTGGGGAAAAATACCTCTTGTCATGGTCAAGGAACAAAACCGAGAGAAGATGCCAGGGCCTCACAGTCATTTTAAAGTCACCACCCAATGACCCAAAACATCTACTAGATCACATCTCTTATGTTATCACATTCTATACAGCCGTGTTTGGAACCAATCCTCTAGCACACTGGTCCCTGGGCAGACATGTAAGATACAAAGATAGTATAGAGTAATGTTAATATCAAAATTTAAATCAAAAGTCAAATTTCTTAACGTAATTCAATGCTGATTAAAGTCAATAAACCTTCATTGAATGAGGTGGGTCTTACAAATAAAGACAAATCTTTGGAAAAACACAAGTGTAAAATAAAATCAAAATTAAAAGGCCAAGCACTGGTTCCAGTTATTTGTGGAGGCTGAAATGAGAAAGATCAAGTTTCCAGACTAGTCTGATAAAAAGTGCTTGTGTGAGCCCCATCTCAATGAAAAAAGCTGGTGTGCACTTGTTATCACAAGCTACGGCAGGAAGTGTGAAATAGGAGGGTCAGATCCTGATCAGGGTGGAGTAAATACAAGACCCTATCTCCAACATAACCTGATCAAACAGGGCTGGAGCCATGACTCAAGTGGTAGGGAGTCTGCCTAGCAAGCATGAAGTCCAGAGTTCTCAACCACTGGGACCAGAATATAGTAAGCAACTATCCTACATGTTTCTGGAACCCACAGTTATTACAGACCTCCACAGACGGTCTTAGGATCAAAACCACAGAGGATTCTCTGTCTCTTCAGTGTGTGAAATCAAGACATGCATAATATAGAGAAAATGGGTTATCTGGCTGAATTCAGAGTGCAGCTATAAAATACCACTGATAGAAAAGTGCCTCAGGAGAGTGTACATCCTTTACAATGACTTACTCATATATAACTGGACAGCTGTGCCAGGTTTGCTTATGCATAGGGTTATGTATAACTTGGAAAACTGAATGGCCTGAAAATCAGGTGAAATGGAGATCTCAGGTGCATGGCTCTCATGTAACCTCTTGTACTTGTTGAGGTTGGGATCCACCACACTGCCATCTCATTCACGGACCACTGTCTTCATACACTCCTCCATGGTCTTGGTGACCTCAGTGAGCTGCAGGTTGGACCAGCCAGACATTTGCTGACTTGAGGTGTGTGAGCTGTGAGAAGTGCCCTGTAGTCACCAAATGATGGGCCCTACATGAGGCAGGGAAAGAATGGGAGTCTTTTTTGTCTTTACCTGAGTTCTGCACTCACCATTAATCCTTCTCCTTTCAGGGCCCTCAGTGATGAATAGAAAAGAGGAAATCCTGACCATTCATGGCTGCTGTGTGCATGGGGAGTAGGAGTTATAATCCCTCAGGGATCACAGGGTCCTAGGGGCAAAAAGAGGAGGGCTCAGACTGCCAAACTGAGACAGTTTTTCACCTGTCTGTGGGAAGTTACACAGGTAAGTTCATTGTGTTACTGGACTGCACTGGTGACTGGTCCCATCTCATCTACAAAGAGGGAATGTCACTTACTTCTTTACTGCCACAGTGAGGATATGAGAGAGCCAAAAATCATAAGGAAAGTGACATCACTTGGGGATATGTGAGATCTTGGAGAACAAAGAAAACCACATAGACCAAAGAAAGTCCTTGACCAGTACCATCTATACGTGCTTTTGGACTGAGAACAGGTTTGATTGAATATGCAGTGCTTCCTGCAGCCCGGACCTAATGTTCTTTGCATGGAGGTTTGTGTCAGGGCTCATACTGAAGTTTCCTCACTGTGCTTCTTGCACAGTAATACGTAGCTGTGTCCTCTGTGGTCACAGAGCTCAGCTGCATGGAGAACTCGTTCTTGGATGTGTCTCTGGAGATGGAGGGGCACCTCTTCAGGGATGAGCTGTAGTAAGTGTTACCATTATAACATACCTCCCCATCCACTCCAGCCCCTTCCTGTGGGCTGGCGGATCCAGGCTCAACAGTCATTAGTGGTAATGGAGTAATCAGACACAGCACAGGTGAGGGGCAGGATCTGATTGGCTTCACCAGGTTAGGAGCAGACTCTTGCAGCTGCACATGGGACTGGACACCTGGAGATAAGGAGAAACATTCAATACAGTTACTTGTATTCACGATCTCCACATGGACTCACATGTGACTTTAGGGACACTCACATTTGGGGGCTGTCACCAGGCACAGGAGAAGACCCAGCAGTCTCATGTTCTAGACCACAGACCTGCACTCCTCAGATACCTCAGTGCTGTCTGAGGAGAGAGCAGTGGCTCCAGTAGTTTGAGATTTGGGTTTAATCTAGACACTGAATAATAATTTGCATGTGGGGAGTCCTCTTCTCATACAAGGGGAGGGTCTGAGTTCAGGATTCCTTTGGTCTTCCTCTACCCCTGAATTGCCAGTTCTCTTGAATTCAAGCAATGTATAAGTTGATTTTCCGTCCGTATGTCCTGTCCTGGGAGCCAGGAAGAATATGAAGAATGCATTCCTATGTATGACATCCACAAATGTGCAATTAATGGCAAGGCCAGATGCCTGGCTTGTTGTTGAGATGAGATCTCAATCCTATTGCCCATGCTGAGCTTAAACTGTGTCTTCCCCATCTATATCTACCAAACAGTTAAAAAACAAGATATTTTGACACAATGATACTTGAACACAATGAGTTTAATCATAGGTTGAACAGGCCCTAAACACATCAGAACGTTTCCAGGGAAATATCATAAAGGGCCTTCTTTGTGAGAGGTGACAATGTCCTGTGTCCAAGGATGTGGATATGGTGGAGACATTGTTGAGTAGTTCTTGTTATCAGACATACATGCACACGTAATTTCTGTTATTACTATATGATGAAATTAAATTATTTATTTTAAGTAATGGTTTATATTACTTATTTTGTGTTGGGGTTGGAAAAAGTCTCCATTTTGATTCTTCCACTTTCACAAAGATTAAACACGATGAAGAGTGACCTTCAATTCAGAGTATCTGGGGCAGTTGTGATGCTCCTATCTATGGTGAGTTTATTCTTCTGTGGAATGGAGATCATTCTGCATCTAAACAATTAGAGTTCTCACCATGACAGTCCAGTTTATAGTTATCCCATTGTCTGAGTCTTGGAAAGTGAAGAATTATTTTCAAGACACTTCATTCTAAAAGTGGAGGGAGTTTCTGTATTTTAACAATAAAACCCCTTTTTTTACACTCTGAATGCCAGCAAGTAGTTTCCCAGATGTGAGAATAAATTTCATTGACTGGAAACCAGACTTCCTAATAGGCAGCAGAGGAGAGTGGTTCCTGAGGATGCCCTGCTTGTCCCTGGTCGTCCTCTCTTGCTGCACCTGGTTCTGTGAGTGCTGCTGAGAGTTCCTGTGAGTCCTGGCCAACCCTGTGGACTTGTGCGCCCCCTGCTGGTTATGAGCACCTCTGCAGTGAAGATTGTGTTATTTCCCAGGGCGTGCAGATCACAGTGCTTGGGCACAGAAGTACACACCAGTCTTCAGCTTTCACACTGCTCAGTGTATGGAATCTTGGTTTTTATCTGATTCCCTGAATATTAAACTGCTGGTCCAGAAGTTGAAGTCACCGTTACTCTTCCCCATGGGCAGATTGCACCCGTCAACTCAAGATTTTCCCTGGTTATAACTGTACACAGGACACAGAATATTCAGGTACTGAGAGTGTATAAGTAGCACATGTCAGCTCGAACATCTGGGAGGGTCTGAGACCACTTCCTCCAATTGCATGAGGTAATCATTGGCCTGGACACCTGGAGGTAGGAAACAACCATAAATTATATCCAGCATTCAATTTGTGAACACCAAGCAGTGCTCAGATCACCTTGATTCTTTGCAAGTCCATCATCTTTGGTAAACTTGTCACTATCATTGCATATGGTGGTGGTAGTGACTACCATGTCAGCCTTTGTCCAGGACTAGGATTCTTCTACCATTTCCAACTAGAGAATGTGGAAAGAGAGAGAGAGAGAGAGAGAGAGAGAGAGAGAGAGAGAGAGAGAGAGAGAGAGAGAGAAGGAGAACTAACAAGCACTGATGTCGGCCTCTTCCCCTTTAAGATTATAGACCTGTTGTATCCCTGCCTTTTTGGACACATTTATCCTTAATTACCTCTTTAAACACCACACTGCAAATTCTACTACATTGTCACTTATGCTTTCACTTGTGAATTTTGAGGAACACAGTTCAGCCTACAACACCAATGGGGGAATTAGGAGAATTCTTGGGATATTTTGTTTGTCAAGGAGTAAAAGCAAGTCGTATATGAATTGGTGAAGGATTTTCATGTAGTGATTGGTCCAAAAGCATCAGTAAAAAGAAAAATAACTTCTCCTTTGCTATCACAGTGAGAATGTGAGAGAAAATGTGAAGAAACACAGTGTCATCCCCAGGGTCAGTGTAGCTGTTGGAGAAGACAGATAACCACTGAGCACAACAGGAAGTCCCTCAGGTCTGGATGAGGCTTCTGTGCCTTTTGAAGGAAAGGGCCTCTGTGCCCTGCAGTCAGGTTTGTATCTAGGCTCACAATGAAGTCCATCTATTGTATTTCTTCTATGGTAAAACATGGCTGTGTGGTCACAAATCACAGATGCAGAGAGAACTGGTTCTTGGATGTATCTGCAGTCATGGTGACTATGCTTGGAGGAGATGGCATGTATTTCTTGTCCCCATCTCTATAGATGCACCCTTCCCTGTGGGCTGCTGGATCCAATCCACCAATAATTACTGCTGATGGAATAGCCAGTGACAACACAGGTGACACTGGGGACAGATATCTACAGTGAGTCCATTGCTCAGGTGCAACAGCCCTATCATTCTGCCTGAATCTGTGAGTGGCTGCATGTCCTTGAGGCGTGAAAACCTTTGCAGGAGGCTGGGCAGCATCCACACAGGTGAGGTCATATCAGCATTCCTCACCTATGGATCCTATGTGTTCCATCTATCCCTCACTAGGCACATTGACTTATACACCTGTCTAGATAGTTCTTCCATACATCAATATCATGGTCAAGATGAAGTCTTTCATGTCTGTGCAGTATTGAATGTGTCAGAACACTTTATGGAATGTTAGCAACATGGGTCCTAATTTCACAAGGACATAATAATATGCAGCTTCCTAGGAAGACTTGGGAAAATTGGCTCATACCCATGTGAGGATGTCAGCTTCCTGGTAATTAGGGGAAGGTGGTACTGGTCTATGTGTGTCTTCATGGTAGACAGTAAAGCTATGACACATTTTGCATTATCTCATAAATGTCCCTAAATCTCTTGTACTCATAATGGCTGAAAAGCATTTGTCTGAGCTCAGTTTCCATTGTGTCATCCATAGATACTGTGAGGAGAAAAATCCAGTGTTTGCCTGTACTGGACCAGCTACTACAGTAACTTAAATGTGGTAATAGATGCAGTCACATTGATTCATATTAATAATTTAATGCAGTTATTAGGCCATTCAGTTTCTTTTTAAGACAGAAATATTTGTCCTGGAGATCCCGTTGGGGAAACTGTCATCACACAATACTTCTGTCTTCACATGTACCCCATCCACTTGTGATTGCCTTCTGGTCGTAAAACAATCCAATCCTTCTCTTATACAGAGCCTAAGGAAAGGACAGCCTGAGCTGATTTCTGTATTACTCCCTTTAATTTCTCTATGTGAGATCAGACTACTAAGCCATTTTTTGCAGAAGACACAAGTCCACCTCTCTCAAACCTTGTGGTATCACTGAATGGTCCCCATTGTCCTGCTATACCCATGTAGGGTGACTTTTTTCTTGTCAGATCATCCACTTGGCTCTGCAATGCTGAGTGCCCCATTGTGCAGTCATTGCAGTGATATCTACAGACTCCTGCTTGGTAAGCAGTGTTCCTCTGTGTCTGGGCTCGGAATCTCTCTGTACATTAAAGATTGAAACATGTGACAAGATGAATTTGTTGAGACCCAAAGTGCTCCATGGTAGCCATAGATGACAATATTGAGTTGTACATTTGAAATTTTCTAAGAGAAGATGTCAAATGATGTGATGGTCAAAATAAAGAAAACCATATTCACTGATTTTATGTTAATTAGATTCAATTTGGAAATGATCACACAATATTAGTATGTTGTCAAACACAGGTTTACAATTTTTATTTCATTTTTCTTTTTTCCATTCTTTTTTCTTTTTTAATTGTTTATATGTTTATTCATATATGTATACATTTTTGTGCACCTCTCCACTGTTCTCACCCCTTCCCACCCTCCTCACTTCCACTCAGAGCCCTTCTGCCTTCTTCTTCAATTTTGTTGTAGAGAAAACATAAGAGATAATACCCAAAGTGCTCCATGGTAGCCATAGATGACAATATTGAGTTGTACATTTGAAATTTTCTAAGAGAAGATATCAAATGATGTGATGGTCAAAATAAAGAAAACCATATTCACTGATTTTATGTTAATTAGATTCAATTTGGAAATGATCACACAATATTAGTATGTTGTCAAACAGGTTTACAATTTTTATTTCATTTTTCTTTTTTCCATTCTTTTTTCTTTTTTAATTGTTTATGTTTATTCATATATGTATACATTTTTGCCACCTCTCCCACTGTTTCTCACCCCCTTCCCCCACCCTCCTCACTTCCACGCAGAGCCCCTCCTGCCTTCTTCTTCAATTTTGTTGTAGAGAAAACATAAGAGATAATAAGAAAGACATAGAGCATTTTTGCTAGTTTGTGATAAACATACAATACAGAGAGATTCCTAGCATTGCTTCCATATACATGTGCATTACAACACAAATTAGTTCATTTCTACCAGACCTCTTCATCTTAAATTACATTTTATTTAATTTTTATTATCATATTATTGTACATTATTGTATATTATTGTGACATTTAAAAAGTACTTATAATATTTAGGTAGATACATCCCTTCCATTATCCTCTTTATCTTCCCACCCCATTGATAGACTAATTTCCTGTGTTTTCATTTTTCCATTTCCATACATGATTACATAATATTTCCACAATATTCAACCTCCTACAACCTTTTATTATGTAATAACATTTTGTGCTTTAGACATTTTCAGTATTTGCAATGAAATATCTTTATAACAGAAATTCCTGCAATGCCATATTTATTAAAGCACTCTTTACAAACAAGCAAAGTTTCCTTCAGTAGATAAGTGGGTATAGAAGATGTGTAATATGCAGACAATGAAATACTATTGGAGAAAAATGGCTTCTGCCTGTTTGTTCAAGTGATAATCCAACTGGACACAATATGATAGTTGAAATAAGCCAACTAGAGGAAGAGTATTACCACACAATCTCCCTCATTTTTGGATGCTAAAAATCAACCTATTGTAATGTAAGTGTGGAATAGTAGTCACAAGAAACTGGGAAAGGTGCAAGGAGGAGATGGAGTGAGAGAGGATCATGGGTACAACCTACAGTCAGCAGGAAAGGTCCTGGAGATTTATAGAACAATGGGGTGATGAAACTCTACAAACCATGTTGTAAGTTTCCAAATTCCTAGAGGAGAAGAGTTTGTAGGCTCCCAAGACAAAGATATGATGAATGTTTGAATAGAAAGACATGCCTCTTGCCTGGATGTTGCTATTACACTGTGTATGCCTGCATCAATTATCATACTTTGCCTCACAAAACTAAACAACAATTAAAATAATGAAATTGTAGACCTGTATCTGATAGATATGCTGACAATCTTAGGAATGTTATAACAGAAAGACAATGATAGAGAACAAATAACATTGTTCATTAAGTATTCTTTGTGCAGATAAAGTGAATATATGCAAATGTAAAATTCAATAAATATGATGTACTAAAGTGGAAGTTACCATAATCATCAGGATGCAGCCATCAAATAATGGCAGTCTGCAAATTTGAGAATTCACATTTATTGGTGATTCAAGCATCTTTCCGTGACCAGAGGTGAGCAGAGCCTTTTGGCCAGCACAAGTCTAAGGAGGAATTTCAATGAGACAAAGGAAGACGACATTGACAGATTGGGGAGAAATCCTCAGGGTGCAGGCATGACAGCAATAGGATCACTAAAAATAACCAATTTTATAGTGTAGTTTTGGTAAGATATCTGGAAGGTCATTGGAAAGATACAACAAATAAAAATTTGTATTTATTTGTAGAAGGAAGAATAACAGACAATAAATGTAAGGGAAATATGGTGCCATGTACATAAGTTTCCAGCACAACAAATATGATGGAAGTGTGTTCTTATTTATTTCCTATTAAAAAACAGAAAGACTTTGCTAGACATATAAGGGCCAGAAATTATTGAAAAGCAAATGTTGCAAAGTGCCACACCTGCCAAATTTGATGTACAACATCAATAGTATAGAAAGCAGTCATTCAAACTTTATTGTGTAAATGTTCAAACTGGTTTAATTTCACACAAAGAGACAGTAGCAGTCAAGGACCATTATGGAATTCAAAGAGAAAAAAGATGCCCATCCTGGACTAGACTGAAGCTGAACATTTAGGACATGATGGCCTCTAATAGTGATTTCAACAGGGGCTCCAAATGTTCACCGATTTGTGGTGCTTAGAAATCCTCCACAACATTGAAACCTAGGGAGTCATCCAAGCCACAATTTCCCATTTACCAAATATCCTAGGGCTTCTACAGCCCTGAGTCACTTGACAGCAGAGAGTGAATCAGGACCATCTTTGTCATCACATGCATTCAGTGACCTGTGCCCAGGCACAGACAGAGCTAACCTAATCTTCCAGAGTCCAGTAAGAATGTCACTGACCCTGCTTAGCTGGGCCTTTGCCAACAGCACCTGTTCTTCCTAAGACCACACTCATGCCTCTACTGACCACAGGCCAGGTAACCCCTGCATGAAGAGTGGACACCTCTGCCTTTGAAAACCGGAGA